CACCGTCGCGCGCAACCAGGAGGCCTCCAACGCGCTGCGCACGCAGCGGGCAAAGAAGGAGGCGGCCGTCAGCGCCGCCATCGCGGAGTACGACGCGCAGATGTCGACGCTGCAGGCCGCCACCGCGGCGCTCAACAAGGAGGCGGAGGAGGACACGGAGGCCATCGTCGTGCTCGACCAGGAGCTCGGCGTGCTGCGCACCGAGAAGGGCGAGTACGAGCTGGAGAAGCACATCGAGTCGATGCGCGACAGGCACTACGAGGACATGCAGGCGACGGTGCAGAAGCACGCATGCACCATCCAGGCGTGCTTTCGCGCCTACATGACGCGGACGAAGTTCGAGCAGGCGCAGAGCAGCTCCAAGAAGAAGGGCAAGAAGCGCAAGGCCTAGACAGAGGGAAGGCAGGGAAAACAGAAAGGAAGAGAGAGGAGAGGGAGAGGGGGAGATATGTAGACTATGTGCTGCTTTACCGGTCGTGAGAGTGCGCGTGTGATGGTGTCAATGTGTGTTTTGCTCTCTACTTTGCTTCGCCGCCTCCTCCTCCTCCTTCACTGTCGCAGTGTGCCACGACGGCGCTGCTGCTCTCATGCCTCATCTTATTGTTGTTTGTTCGTTCGGTTCTTTTCTTGTGCTCTGCTCTCCTCTCTGTGTGCCTGGCTTCGCTGTTCCTCGCTCGAGATCACCATCCGCGGAGGCAGCGGTGGCAGCAGTAGCGGTAGGAGTTAAGCGGGAGTAGCGGCAAGCGGAAACACGCAATGGCCGTTCGCGGACAGACTGCGGTGAAGGACGGCGAGAAGGCGTTCGAGGGTGGGGAGAAGGTGAGCGCCGAGTTCTTCGCCATCACGTACGGCGCGCTGGTGCAGCAGATGATCGCCGACCTGTCGCAGGAGGAGGACGTGGAGGCGGTCAACCAGCAGCTGGACGCGATGGGCCGCCGCATCGGGTCGCGGCTCATCGAGGAGTACAGCGCACGCAGCGGGGCGCCGGCGTGCCGCACATTCGCGCAGGCGG